TTTCCTAGAAATGCTATCTGGGGTACTACATGTGCTACCGGAATTTGGGGTGCCTTACAATTTCACCACGGTTTATTACTAAATCCCTGATATTAATAAGCCCAAGAGGGTTCTTGCCTAATATTTAGAGAAGAATTCTAAATACCAGCACAGATACATGAGGCAGCATGGTACATTTTAAGCTTTTATTTAGTGAAAACGATGCATAGGACAGTGAGAGCTTTATTTAAGAGAGAGGGCCCGAAGGCCATGCGCCCTGGAGGTGTGAGGCTACAGCAAGCTCCCTCCTGACAAGAGGCCAGGGAGGAAGAGCAGGGTCAGGCCACACCATGTCCGGCTTTTAACCCACTTCCAAGGGGGAGTGGTTAATTAACCTGATTGGCTAGTGGGCACCGAGGTGTGGCCAGGTAAGGGAATGAGGCCACTCAGGAGCATGGCAAAGGCATGGTCTTCCAGTTCACAAATCTAACAATTTTAACCTGTATGCCTGCCTACTTCAATTGTGGCCATCTAGGGAGTGAATCAATGGATGGAGGACCTCTTTTTCTGTCTCTAACTCTCTCTGTAACTCTGTCTTTCAAATAAATAAAATAAATCTTTAAAAAAAATAACTGTCAACCCATAAAATGTACCCTGCAAAACTCTCATTTATGAATGAAGGTGAAAAAAGACCTTCCATGATAAACAGAAATTGAAAGAATTTTTTGCCACTAGTCCAGCCTTAAAAAAGATGCTTAAGGATGTGCTACACACAAAAACACAGAAACATGATCATCAATATGAAAGAAGGTGAAAGCAGAAAATCTACAAGTATAGGTACAAAGGAAAACCAAAATAAAACAAATAGGAATGTTTATGGAAAAATGACAAGGCCAAGTCATCACTTATCAATAGTCACCTTGAATGTAAATGGTCTCAACTCTCCAGTTAAAAGACGTATACTGCAGTGGCAATCTCCATAAAATATTTTGTTCATTTTCTGGTCCAAATTTTTCAAAATACCTGGCTGTCTGGTTCAGCAGGATTTTATACATCCCCATTCTCTCAGGGATCAATAATTCACATGCTCTTCTCCACTTTAAAGTCACTGAATTCACCAGGACTCTTCATTCACAGAGTAGTTGCAGATCTGAGATATTGGAAGCTCCTGCTAACATAGAAGAAATACCAGCATCTATTACACTAGCCCAGGAAGAATGGAAAGCCATGGTGCCAGAGCAGTAGACTGAGACTACAGAACAGCTTTTGTTGGGAAATAGAGCAGCAAACTGAGGAATTTTAAAAGTTTTTTTAGCCAATCAGACTATATTGAATTCCCTTTTTAAGTAACAATAGGTTAGAGATATAAATGCCTAATTAGTGAAACTTGTTTGATTCCTTGGCAGTGTAAAGTTACCAATCTGGAGTTTTCACATAATTGGGGTAAACTTATTGCTCTAAACTATAAGACTAAATCAATAGATATTTAAGAACTTTAAAGGTTCTTAATCATGTATTAACAGTCAAGTACACATTCCTCAGTGTTGCCTGTCTGGCAATTTGAACATAAAATTTATGTGTATAAGACAGTGAGAGGGGCTAGTGCTGTGGTGTAGCAGGTGAAGCCACTGTCTGCAGTGCTGGCATCCTTTATGGGCACCAGTTCGAGTCCCAGCTGCTCCACTTTCTATCTAGCTCTCTGCTATGGCATGGGAAAGCAGTAGAAGACGGCCTAAGTCCTTGGGTCCCTGCACCTGCGTGGGAGACCCAGAAGAAGCTCCTGGCTCCCGGCTCCTGGCTCCGGATAGGTGCAGCTCTGGCTGTTGTGGCCATCTGGGGAGTGAACCAATGGGAGAAAGACCTCTCCCTGCCTCTTCTTCTCTCTCTTTGTAACTTTGACTTTCAAGTAAAATAAATAAATTTTAAAAAATATAATAAAAAATAAAAAAGGCTATAGTCATCCATTATCATTGATGAATATTGTGCATTGCATTTATTGCATTGCTATACTTCTTTACAATGGCAGGACATTAGGTTTGTAGGTGCCACCGCAGCCATAAACATGTGAATACTGTAATGCACTACAACATCACAATGGCTAGGAAATGACTAGGATGTAGGAATTTTTCAGTTCCATTATAATCTTATGGGGCCACTGTCATATATGGACTCTACCATTGACTGAAACATTATTGTGTGGCATGTAACTATTTATCTCAACTTTTATCCAGTGATCTTCATATGAGAATATTTTTCATATTGTAAAGTCTATTTTGGGCCATCTTTTATCACTGGAATGAAAATAAAGCTTTAACTGAAAAATTTTAATAATGACAGACTCATGATTAGCCATATTCCAAACTATATAAAACTGCTGTCAATTTTAACTTGAGATCATTTGTTTACATCAAACATATTCACTTAAGGATAAAGAATCTTAGCCTCCCATATCTGGAAAGAAGCTCCTGAATCATTAAGTCCAGACTTTCTGGGATGATCAATTTACATCTATGTTAGTCTGTAGTCTTCAGGAAAATAGAACAAGTGAAGTGGCAATAAATGAAAAGATAGAAGATAGATATAGATTGACAGACATATATATAGAAATTATATATTATATTTCATAAATGTATATGTATATATACCTTCCATGCATAACTTCCATAGCTGTCACCATAGCCATATTGTTTTTGAGTTCATTGAGTGAATGACAAGGGTGACTGGGGAAGGAGGCTTATTTACATTCATAGAAAAGATAATTTCACCCATTTTATTATTAGAATGCTCCTCTACTGAGTTGCCAATTGGTGAACCTTCACATGGAGCACAAATATCTTCATTTCTTTGCTCACACAGGGGCAAAGCTTTGTTCCATCCAAATCTCTGCCATCCCAGCCAAATCATTGGCTACAGTCCACTAATCAGTATATAGTTGTAAGTTTGCCAATTTCTCCTTCTAAGCAAAGTGAATAATCAGAAGCACTTCTGAAATTGCAGCCCACTGTGAGAACTTCTTTTCATACCTGTCCTTTAGGGATGCCCCAGGTAGAGTCATAGTGCTGCAGCTGTGCACTTTGAACAGGTGCCGGCTGTGTCAGGCAGTTTTTGATCACTATGAAAAATACCTGAAAGAAGCTACTTACAAAGGAAAGAGATTTATTTTGCTTACATTTCCCAGGATTCACAACTTCAGGTTGAGCAGGCCTCATTGGTTTATCCATCTGGTGATGTCAGAGGATGGCAACAGCGGCATATGTCTGGAGCTGCCATAACTTGGTAAGCTTGGAAGGAGAGACGGATGGAGAGAGGGAGGGAGGATAGAAGGTGGTGGGAATCCATTCCATCTTTATAACCAACCCTCTCAAAAGGATTATCTTCTGAGGACATACCTCTAATGACCTAAGAACTTCATATTCACCCACCTCATAAACATCATAGTTAGATCAAGCCTCTGACCTCCTAGTGCCAACTTTGGTACTTAACCATCTGCATGTGTTTTGGAGCCGTATCCTATTCAAATCATAGCACCTGCACATTGTGCATGACCATCTGTTAATGATGTCAAAGTCTCTTCTTCCTCTGTCAACTGATAATGAATACATCTCCTTGAGGCCTTAGGTGCAAGTTATGAGACAGCAGGAAGTGTAATAGAAATGGATACCATGAGCATATACATTGCTTCTTAACTTACATGTACTTTCAGGAATTGCTGGAGCTCAGTAACACATATACCACTTCTATTTGTTGGTGTTATTCTGTGCACATCTGATTTTATGGCTTGGTGGGTAATATAACACCCAGTTCTTAATAAGAAACTCAAGTTACATGATAATATGGTATCCTATGACTAAGTGTCCTAACGTCTCTATTAAGGCCTTTGATTATTCTGTAGTAAATGGACCAGAGTACTCAAGCCAAAATGAGGAATATGATACCTCCAAAGTCCGAAGAGCTTGCTAGGCTTTATGGTTCCTCTTATTGGTTGTAATAGCATCCAGATACAACTTATCCTTCATATTAGAAGGGATATCTTGATCTGCCCCCAAAGCACTGATTCGCTTGAAATTTCACTGAGGTTGAAGGTCCCTGAATTTTAACTGGTTTTATTTCCTACCCTCTGATATGCAAATGTATTACCAAAGCTGAGTAATTGCTCCTTTTTTTTTAATCACTGCTTCACTCAACATAACATAAACATAATAGACCATTGTGATACCTTATGGGAGGTAAAGACAATCAAGAGGCCAACAGACTGAAATATGACACAGGGCATAGAGTTGATAAATGCACGAAGAAGGAAAGTAAAGGTGTATTCCTACTTTTAGTACTAAAATCAAATTTCTTCAGGTGTTATCAGTCTCCTGAGACTTCTGTATCAAATTACCATAAACTGAGTAGATTACAAACAGCACTTATTTTTCATAGTTCTGGAGGCTAAGAAGTAAGAGATCAAGGTGTCTGTAAACTATGTCTGGTGAGATCCCATTTTCTCCTAGTTAGTGAAGGAAAGAACAAGCTAAATTTCTAGGATATCTCTTATAAAGGTACGAATACCATTTATCAGGTCAGAGTTTAAATGTCTAATCATTTCCCAAAGGCCCAATGTGATACTATAGATATAATATTATCACATTTAGGGATTAGACTTCAGACTATGAATCTGGGAAATGAGCAGAAGCATTCGGACCATATAAGCTGGTCTTTACTACAAGTATCAAGATTTTTTTTTAAAAAAATAATGTTTCAGATCTGTAACTGAATACCAGGTACCAGAAGATGTGTTAATTTAGTCAAGTAATGAAACAGTATCAGAAATGGCAACTTCAATTGAAGTCACCACCATGTTAACATTATAGTAATACATCATCATTCTCCAAGATCCAACTTCACAAGCTAAAAAGGAGAGTTGAATGTGAGTTTTGTTGGAATCACAACCTCTGCATCTTCTAAGTTCTTTATTGTGTCACTAATCTCTATCTTCCCATTTATGTGATATTGCTTTTTACTTATTATGTTTCTAGGTAGAAACAGTTACAATGGTTTCCTCTGGGACTTCCCCACTGTAATTGTCATTCCACAGGTCAGGAAACCTGTGGAAAAGGAGGTTCTACCTCTAATGAGTACATCAATTCCACTGTGTGCTCTGAAACTGAGAAAATAACCACAGAGACCCACTGGGCTTGCTGAGAGATGGACTAGAGCTAAAACATCATTGATCTCCTGACCCGTATGAGTCCCTTTGCTGACTGGCAGACTACAGGGAATGTTAGAGCTCTTTTTAACTCCCAGATAAGGAACATTAAATGCAGAGTTTCTGCTAAATGAGCTCTAATCAATAAATTTGGCTTGACTCAACTTTGTTACTTCCACCATTACCTCACACCCTCATTAACCATTACTCCAAAGGTTCCCCAGGTTTCTGCCTGTATAAATTACAAAATGCAAGTAGTTCTTTTGGAGTACATCACAGCTTCTCATGGGTCATATTTTGTATTTCATAGTTGTAGGTCTGCTGGGACTTTAGTTAGTTATAAATCTAAAAGCAAGCCATGGAACACTCTGGAAGGGTCAGATGTGTAGCAATGAGCACAGACATAACATATGACCCCAGCAGTTGAGAGCCAGAGAAAGCATTAGCTTTGGAGAGCAAGGTGAGATCAGACTACAGCAGCCCATGCCACTGGTGATATAGCTGGAGGGAAAGCCTGGCAGAGACTAGACTGTCTGAGTCTGGCCTGGGGCCTTAAGGGGGACAGGGTACCCACTAATTCAGCAAGAAAATGGGGCAGGTTTCTCACTCCACATGACCCCCATTATGGTGCCAGGCAGTTGGCTAAGAGAAGGCAGATTCCATTTTGGACCTAAGTAACAGCTGCAGCAGCTCTTGTGCACACGCCCAGTGGCTGGCTGGGATAAGACACCATCTTGACAGCAGTAGTTGTGGCAGCAGCTGGGATGTGTGCACCTGCAACCAGCAGGGAGAAGGTACCATTCTGACATCAGTATAGGATGTAGAGGCTCTTGTGCATGTCTTGCAATAAGCAGAGGTGTGATTGTAAAATAGATGTTGTAGCCAGAAGGTTTTGTGCATGCCTGTGATCCAGAGATTTTATCAGAGGGAAAAATCTGCATTTCCCACTGACTTTGAGTCTCACTGGGATGACTGACAGGAGGCTGGACACCCATGTAGGACTGTGAGGTGCCTACAGCCTCTCAACATATCACAGGCTCCTATGTGGAGCACCCACAAACAGCTGGCTGTGGGAACATCTCTGCTTCTCCATGGATGGAAAAGGCCAGTAGGGAGAACTGGATCCTCTGCACTCCATTACTGTGAGATTCTTGTGTGCTGACTGTGGGAACTCTGTGACTATGTGAGAGGGTGCAAGGTGTAGGTGGGTCTCTGGGCAATCACTGTGTGTGTCCCCACATGCTCAGAACTTCATGATTGCCTGGGGTAGATAAATGAGGCAGGATCAGTGTTCACACTGAGAACTGCACAGATCCTTGTGTGGCTCCTGTAGCAGCATGGATAAGTATTGCACCCACTGTGGGCTAACGTGAGCACTGATCACTTTGGAAGAGAGGAGCTGAGGCTATGAATACACCAACAGAGGTGATTATACCCTCCTTCCTGCTAACAAGAGGAGATCTACCACACCAAAGTTGGGTGTTACTAGAGTACTAACCAGAGCTTCCTGGCCACGCTCAGAAGATGCCATTGGGTATTCACTGAAGGAATAGACACCCCACTAAGCCACAGAGGCATAGTTCAGATGTAAAAGTCATCAGAGGATAAAACCAGCAAGCATAACCACGTGTGCATAAAAATAAATGCAGAAATTCAAGAAACAAAAATAAGGATGACAATATGACCTCACAAATAAAATAACAATACTGCAATGTAAGAATGTGAAGAAGAGATTAATGAAATGCCTGAAGTGGAATTCAAAAGATTAATCATAGGATTACTCAGAAGCAATGAGAAGCAAATCATAGGTTAAGGAAATCTATACATGACATGGATGAGAAATTTTCCTGTGGAATTGAGAATTTGAAGATAAATGATACTGAAAGATTAGAAATGGAGAATTCAAAATGGCAGAAATGAGAGGGAGCTTACTGCTCTAAGCTAGGGTAAAATAGTTTTAAAAAATGGAGAGAACGCAAGTTAGGAAGAAAACTGCAGTGGAAATTCCATGAAAGGAAGAGGGAAACTGTAGATTTACATGGAGTGTATGAGTGTATGGACACACAAGATGAGCAAGGACACAACACAGGCCTCAAACAGCCAAGAGCCTGAATGCCTAAATGGAATGTGAGGTGAGACCAGACTGCAACAGCCAATGCCACTGGATATATAGCTGGGGGGAGGGACTGGAAAGAGCTCATCCTGGAGCTCTGTGGGGGACAGGGTAGCTGCCAAGATAGAGGCAAAAGAGGCATGTTTCTCTTTCCCCATTCCCCCAACAACAGTGCCCAGCAACCAACTGAGAAGAGACACCTGATTCTACCAAGGAGGAATGATAGGAAGCTGGGAACTCATGTATGACTGTAAGGTGCCCTCAGCCTCCCAATGCATCATAGGCTCTGGGCTCAAACTGCATAGCTAGAGCACCCAAAGGCTGCTGGATCTGGGAGAATCTCTGGTTCCCTGTGGACAAAACAAACAGGTATAGCAGAGCAGATCCTTAGCACTTTATGACTATGGGAGCCTTGTGTGCTGAGACCATGGGAACGCTCTGAAAGCACAAGAAGGTGCAAGGTGTGTCTGGGTCTCTGAGCAATCACTGTGAGCAGCTCCACATGCCAGAGTTCCCTAATTTGGCGGGGTGAATAATTGCAACAAGATCCATGCTCACACTGAGGACTGCAAAGATCATTTCTGCAGGTCTTACAGCAACACAGAAGAGAATTGCACTCACTGTGGGCTAACACCTAGGCATTCTTCACTTTGGAAGAGAGGGGGTGAGAATGTGTCTATGCAAAGAGCTAATAAAAAGAGATCTACGATGTCTAACTTGCATGTTACTCTGGATACTCAAATGACCCTGGAGTATTGACCATTCCTGGCCATACCCAGCATGCACCTCTGGGTAATTACAGAAAGAGAAGACACTCCACTAAATCAAAGAGGCAAACGGTGACTTGATCAGCCCTTGCCCTGACTGTTGATGAACAACTTAATACGTTATCCCTCTTAGTATTTTGTTTGTTTGTTTTACTTAATACTTTTGGTTGAATACTGTAATCAATACACAGTTATTCTTAAATGTTGAAACTTAACTGAAAAGTGATCACAGTTAAATATAAGAGTGGGAATAAGAGAGGGAAGAGATGTGCAATTCGGGACATGCTCAAGCTGACTTACCTCAAATGGTAGAGTTAGAAACATACCAGGGGATTCCAATTCAATCCCATCAAAGTGGTATGTACCAATGCCATCTCACTAGTCCCAGTGATCAATTTCTGTTCACAATTGATCATAATGATAGGACTAAGAACCAAAGGGATCACATAAACTATACTAGTGTCTGCAAATACTAACCGACAGAATAAAAAAGGGAGAGAACGATCCAACATGGGAAGTGAGATACACAGCAGACTCATAGAATGGCAGATGTCCTAAACAGCACTCTGGCCTCAGAATCAGCCCTTAATGCATGCGGATTTGGCTGAAAAGCCCATGAGAGTATTTCAGGCATGGAAAGCCAAGACACTCTGGAAAAAAAAATGACCTAAATGAAAGATCTCTGTGAGTGAGATCCCAATGTAAAGAACAGGTCATCAAAGAAGGAGGTACCTTTCTCTGAAGGGAGGAGAGAACTTCCATTTTGGCTACAACCTTGTCTAAACAAGATAAGAGTCGGTGAACTCAAAAGGCTTCCATAGCTTTGGCAGCTCATGACAAGAGCCTAGGGTGATTACTGAGGCCATAAACAAGAGTGTCAATTTGTTAAGTCAGCAACAGGAGTCACTGTGCACTTACTCCTCATGTAGGATCTCTGTCCTTAATGTGCTGTACATTGTGATTTAATGCTATAACTAGTACTGAAACAGTATTTTTCACTTTGTGTTTCTATGTGGGTTCAAACTGTTGAAATCTTTACTTAATATATGCTAAACTGATCTTCTGTATATAAAGAGAAACGAAAATGAATCTTGATGTGAATGGAAGGGGAGAGGGAGTAGGAAAGGGGAGGGTTGCGGGTGGGAGGGAACATAAGGGGGGGGGGAGCCATTGTAATCCATAAGCCGTACTTTGGAAATTTATATTCATTAAATAAAAGTTTAAAAAAAAGCTATCAGAGGAATAAAAAAAAAAATTTCCACAAACGCCTAAAAATAAATAAAGAAAATCAAGAAACAAGAATAAGGAAGTCAACATGAACCCTGTCCCTAAAGAAACAAAATAATGCTAAGAAATAAGAATTTAAATATGAAGAAAGTGATGAAATGCCAGAAATGGAATTCAAAAGATTAATTTTAGGATTAGTTAAAATCAATCAGATGCAAATTCATGAATTAAAGAAAAACATATAAGACATGAATGAATAATTTTCCCATTAGATTAAGACTTTAAAGAAAAATCAAAATGAAATATTAGAAATGAAGAACTCAATAGACTGAATAAAAAAAGAGGTGGAAAACCTTAACAAAAGATTGGATGAGGAAAAGGAAGAACATCTGCATTAGATATAAATCTTTGGAAATCTGACAGACCAAAAAAAAAAAAAAAAGAGAGAGAGAAGAATAACAAATTAGAAAAATTGTATCACACAACCTAACATACGAGTATTAGGAGTTTATGAAGGCGTGGAAAGAGAATGGATGCCGGCGCCGTGGCTCAATAGGCTAATCCTCCGCCTTGTGGCGCTGGCACACCAGGTTCTAGTCCCGGTCGGGGCGCCGGATTCTGTCCCGGTTGCCCCTCTTCCAGGCCAGCTCTCTGCTGTGGCCAGGGAGTGCAGTGGAGGATGGCCCAAGTGCTTGGGCCCTGCACCCCATGGGAGACCAGGAGAAGCACCTGGCTTCTGCCATCGGATCAGCGCAGTGCGCCGGCTGCAGCGCGTCAGCCGCGGCGGCCATTGGAAGGTGAACCAACGGCAAAGGAAGACCTTTCTCTCTGTCTCTCTCTCTCTCACTGTCCACTCTGCCTGT